GAAAGCTCGGCTGGACAGTATTTTTCCAAATGGCCAGGGCTGTGTTGTTAATTTACCCTTTGAATTTTGGCATAAACATCGTAGCACTCCTCAGAGAAATAATGGGAAATTGCAATTCATTTCAGGGAAAGAAAGATGTTCGGTAAAGCTGAATACCAAAATGTAATTTGCCCCCCAAATTAAAATAAAACAGCTCTCTGAATAATAAAATGGATCTCATCTCTTAAATTAATTTCCTCTCTGTTTTATCTGTTGGTGCATAATTCATAATTTATGACTCAAAAATCGTGTTGGGGAGAAAAAGTTGTCTATCTCTGTTCTGTTTCCTGGTCCTGACCACCATAAATGTTTGTCATAGGGGATTTTGCATTCGTAAAAAGTTGTTTCTTTTGCAGTCTTTAATCAAGATCCAATATTGTAATTAGTTTTAAAAGTGTTGCATGTTCATGAATTTTTCTTTTATGCCTGTTTTAACTTGAGGCTTTTCTGGAACAATGTTTCAGGATCCGCAGTCCCTGTTTATGAATCATGATAGCTTATTTGGACAGTAAACACATGTGCTGTAGGTATTTAAGCTTTCTCATTGGCTGTCACAAAGTTTTTAAATCCATAACCAAATGGCAGGGGATAATGTGTATGCTAACAATAGAAGTCAGTGTTTATTCATTGGATATCTTAAGCCAACAAACCTCATCTTCTTTCCTCCCCAAATAGTTCTCACTTCCAGAAGCCTCTAATTTAAATAAGATGGGCTCTTAATACCTCTGTAAACATATAGAAAAACCTAAAGATTCCACCAAAAACTCTTAGAACTGATAAACAAATTCAGTAAAGATGCAGGATACAAAATCAATGTACAAAATCAATATTTCTACACACCAAAAACAAACTAGCAGAAAGAGAAATCAAGAAAGCAATCCTATTTATGATAGCTACCAAAAAACTAAAACACCTAGGAGTAAATTTAACCAAGGAGGTGAAAGACTACTATGATGAAAACTACAAAACACTGATGAAAGAAATTAAAGAGGGCACAGAAAAACAGAAAGATCTTCCATGTTCGTGGATTGGAAGAATTACTGTTGTCAAAACGATCATACCATCAAAGTTATCTACAGATTCAATGCAGTCCCTATTAAACTACCAATGATGTACTTCACAGAAATAGAAAAAACAATTCAAAAATTTATATGAAACAAGAGACCCTGAATAGCCAAAGTAACCCTGAGCAAAATGAATAAAACTGAAGACATTACACTACCTGACTTCAAAATATCCTACAAAGCTATAGTAACCAAAACAGTATGGTGCTGGCATAAAAACAGACACATGGACCAGTGGAACAGAATAGAGAACCCAGAAACAAGTCCACATGCTATAGCCAACTGATCTTTGACAAAAATGCCTAGAACATATATTGGGGAAAGGACATCCTTTTCAATAAATAATGCTGGGAAAACTGGAAATCCACATGCAGCAGAAAGAAACTAGATCCCTATCTCTCACCATTTACCAAAAATCCACACAAAGTGGATTACAGACTTAAATAAATGTAAGACCCAAAACTATAAAACTACTAGAAGGAAACGCAGGAAGTGCTTTAAGACATTGGTCTGGGCAAAAATTTGTGGAGAATACATCTAAAGCACAGGCAACAAAAGCAATAAGACATATGGGATTTTATCAAACAAAACACTCCTGCTTTTTTAAAAAGCAAACAAAAGAAAAAACAGAGCGAAGAGACAATCAGCAGAATAGGAAAAAATATTGACAAACTATTGATCCAACAAGGGATTAATATCAACAATATACAAGGAACTCAAACAGCTTAACAGCAAAATCATAATCCAATTAAAAAATGGGCAAATGACCTGAATAGACATTTCTCAAAAGAAGACATACACATGGCCGGCAGATACATGAAAAAATGCTCAACATTACATTACTATTCATCAGGGAAATACTAATTAAAACCAAAATGAGTATCATCTCACCCCAGTTAGAATAGCTATTATCAAAAAGGCAATAATAATGATAAAAATAAAATAAAAGTGACAGAAAGTGTGATGCCTGCCCTCTAACATCCTAGAGCTGGTGAGGATGCAGAGGAAGGGGAACTCTTACACACTGTTGATGGGAATGTAGATTAGTGCAGCCATTACAGAAAACTAGATGTCAGTTTCTCCAAAAACTAAAAATAGAACTACATACGATCCAGCAATCCCACAGCTGAGTGTTTATCTGAAGGAAAGGAAATTAGCATACCTAAGAGATATGTGCATCCCCATGTTTACTGCAGCACTATTCACAGGAGCCAAGATATGGAATCAACCTAGGTGTCCATAGTCAGATGAATGGAAAAAGAAAATGTGGTTTATATACACAATGGAATACTACTCAGTCATGAAAAAGAATGAAATTCTATCATTTGTGGCAATATGGATGAGCCTGGAAGATATTATGTTAAGTGAAATAAGTCAGGCACAGAAAGATAAACACTGCATGTTCTCACCCATATGTGAGAGCTTAAAAAAAAATTGAATCCATATGTGAGAGTAGAATCATGGTTACTAGAGGCTGGAAAGGGGAAGGCACAGGGAAATAGTAAGAGGTTGGTTAATGGACACAAAATTATATCCAGATACGAAAAATAAGTTCTACTGGTATATAGTAAGGCTAGGCATCTATAATTAACAATTTATTATATGTCTTCAAATGGTTAGAAGAGAGGAGCTTAAATGTTCTCATCACAGAGAAGTGATAATTTTTTACAGTGATGAATTTGCTAACTACCTTGATTTGATCATTACACATTGTATACATGTATTGAAATGTAACTCTGTACCCTATAAATGTGTACAATCAATACACTTCAATTAGAAAATAAATTTGAAAAAAGACAATAGCAAAATAAAATGAAAGCCAACAAAACAATTTTAAAAAATAGTTCTGCGAGAGTAATGATAGTGTGATGCCTGCCTCCTGACATCATAGAGCTCACAATCACAGACAGAGGAAGTTACTGGCTTTTCCAGGTGGTCTGTTAATTGACTCATGACTTTTCCTTTTCTGGTAGTACTTTTTGATTTAATTGAGAAACAAATGCATATCATGGAGCTAAA